GTGATGGCGAAGTGTAGGGGTTGATTTTGTAACAAATTATGCGTACGTACACAGTAAGGAGGTGAGGGGTTTAACAAATTTGGGTAAATACAAGTAGGGAGCGGCTCCTAAAAAGTAGTTTTATTGCGTACGTAGGCTTTATATGGTATATGCTATATAGAAATTGGTTTTACTCAGCTTTCTATATATAACCGGTAGCAAAGAGAATCATGTCACAGCACTAATCAGAGCCAACTACATTGGAGAGAATGGGGGGTGGGGGTGGTAGGGGAGAAGGAGGGGAGACAGAGGAGCATTCCCCACTCTCAGGAAAGGATTTTATGATGTTTCAAATGACACATTTAGACACTGTGAAAGCTGCAAATCTAACTGTTCCAAGTGGTCACAAAACGTGTTATAGACGTTTTTAAAATGTGTAATTATATTTACCTTGTTTTAGACATTTTAAACACGTCTTGTGCCTAGGGGTTCATGCCAAATCAGAAAGTTTCGGGAAAAATTGCGATGATTAAGCTTATAAACGAAAATACTCAAAAATATTTGGGTTGCCTATCCTAAAAGTAAAGACAATGAGCTAACATTTTTTTTTCACGAACTATAAATTTTTTGACAGGTTTTAACTTTTATCTCATAAACCCTGCCCACAATAAGGGTGTCTAAAATTTACTTGATTACAACTTTCGAACACTTGAAGATTATTAGGCGAAATTAAAAAATATGTTGATTGATTGGACGTCTTTAAACGTAAAGGAACCAAGCGCTATTTGTATGGTTTTGCGAAAATAGTTTTCTTTCTGTTTTTTTTTTTAAAAATAAATTTCAAATTTTTATAGTAACTAAAGCCTGCTTTAACTATAGTGTTATCAAAAAGCAGTATGGGATTAAGAAAAAAAAAGTGAAAAGCTCTATCCTATATACTGTAATAAACAGAAAGAAAACCTTATTTGGGGTTGGTGACGCAAATACTTTGGATATTTTTGTCCCAGGCTGCAACCACCAAAAAAATTTTTATTTGGTATAAGTATAAACAAAGTTTGTATTTTTTTTTCCGCGAGGTCTAAATCTATTTTATTTGCATTTCTGGCTTGCTATATTTTGTTTTCCACTAGAGTTCCATTATTGACTCTAAAATGCTCTTCATGCAAGTCAGAACTTTTAATAGTGCAATGTGGATTTCTTCAAATTGCTAGCGGAACAAGTCACATTTCAAAAACAGACCTGGATCTTTTTGATCTAAATCACCATTGCTACTTTGGAATATATATAATTACAAAGAAGATTCTTTTAAACGTTTTTGTCTTTCTTATATATATATATTTTTTTTTGCTGAATGTGACGACTTATATAAATACCTAACTAGATAATTCATAAAAATCAATATCTTTAAATATTAAAAAAATATTAAAAGAACTTTATACAATTTTATAATTTATTTAATTATTTACAAAGTCATGAAAAAAAAAAAAAAATTATATATAAATAGAATCCACTTTGCTTTTTTTTGATAACTAAATAGAATTAGATTAATACTAAATTTTTATATTGATGTGTCGGCAAAACATGCCAAACCAAAATTACTTTACCATTGCTTTCACCAGTATTCTCGGGTTCATAAAGCTTTTCATTGATCGCCGTTTCATCCTTCGGTATATCACCGTTAAAACAGAAAAACGTGTTCATTCCGAAAGCATTTTTATTTAACTCTTTTCCGGTACTAACAATAAGATACTTTACGTCACCGTGACGTTCTGTCGGAATAAGCACAAGTTTTCTTAATTCCTTTGCGTACGGATGAAGTGTTAGCAAAAGTATTATCTTATACACTTTTTTTTGAACCTCATAAATAAGAATGTGTCCACTTCCAGTACCAACCCACAGCATGTTAATAACTGAACACATACACGTCACCCTGAGGTCGACGTTAAGAGCTCCTGGTGAACATGAGAGTATATCATTGCGACAGCTGAATGTATGTAAGATTTCTTTAGTTTCCGCACTATGAAGATAAATTTCAGGACTGTTTTGAAAAGAGATAAAAAACATTTTTTTGTCGAACGAGTGAACTATTTCTTGAACTTTTTTTTCCATATGACATGGCTTCATTCCTTCTTCTTCCTTTTTCAAATAACAATAAGCAATAGAACGCCCGACCGACCAAACAACCGTTTCAAGCAAAAACACCAATGAAGTTACTGGAAAGCATAACGCACTTATTTGAAAATCGTAAAGATTTTTTAACATATTCCCATTCAAAAAATTTTTTAAGGTAACTTTGGAACAGCGACCATTTAGAAATCCAAGACAAACCCATTCACGATTCGCAGAAATAGATAGAATATGAGAATCCTCCATTGTGTAGATTCTAAAAACACTGTACTTTTTTGCTTTATAAATTATTATTACGTCATCAAAGCTTCGTAACACAACGCAAACATATTTATCACTTATAGTGGTTATAGATGACATGTTAAAATTTTGTTGACTTAACTCTGTAGTATCAATTTTGAATTTTCGGACAAACCTAAAATTTTCCATGTCGATTACAATAACAAATTGGCCTAAAGAAAATAAATCTTTTATTTTCAATCTATCTAGCAACAAAAAAAGAGTGAAATACATTTGAATACACACACACACACACACACACACACACACACACACACACACACACACACACACACACACACACACACACACACACACACACACACACACACACACGCATATTTATACATTTACTTCTTCATATTTACAAAAATTACTAATTTAAATACGTATGAAGAGGACTGGGTCATTAACAAATATTTTAAAAATACTATAAAAGTTATTTTTGTACACTGATATATCTGATTTTAGATTGTTTTTATTTTGCAAAAGTAAAAAAAGCAAAAAGTGTGTGGGTAGGTGGATTTTTGATTTCAGTGTAAATAAAAATGATATCAAAAAAGAACAGTTGAATAAAATTATCTCATCAAAAAAGAACAGTTGAATAAAAATATCTCATCAATTTTCTTTATTGGAAAAAGAATAGGAACAATACCTATAGCACAATTTCCAACTAAGAAAACTGTATTACAATATTACCATTACAAAGATCTTATGCTAAGAGCAGATTTTCCCAAGATATCTTCAATTAAAACAGTTTTATGTCGACTTGGGGATTTTTTTACTGCTCAATGTGCAGAAATAGGCGATTGTCTCCAAAAATGTTTACCACGTTAAAAAAAGTTTTTCAATTAAGAGGTCAAACTTTTTTTGTAAAAAGCGAGAATTCCTTTTGTTAATACTGACAAGCAGGTGTTTATTATACTAAAATGCTTTTTAATTTAAAATGTAAGCCACTTTCAAATTGACTTTATGTAACATAAGCTTTATATTTTTAAGATTACGTTACAAAAGTTTTTATATTTTAATGAACTGTAATACTTATAATCAATTCTTCTACTTTTTAGATAAGATTACCTAAAGCTGAAAACCACCAAATTGAGACTTATTTCTTGCTTATATTAGATAAACGAAAAAGATAGCTAATTTACTGGTTGTTGCTGATCATTGTCTCAAATTTCAGACAACAGATAAAATCTTTTTAAAATTACTATTCTTATTTAAAAAAAACTTAATTGTAAATAATGTTTTTAATTTAAAATACACAGGAAATACTTTTTATAAAACAACTCCCCCCCACCTCCTCCCACATATAAACAGGATGTATTCAAATGGATAGGAATGAATATTCCCATCATCTTTTGGAAAAAAACAAAAATAATTTAAAATCAGATAAATAAGGAGTACACATAAAAATATTTATGTGTATATTTATTTATTCTTAGATGCATAAATCAAATGAAACCAAAAAAATTATTATGGTAATAATTACACACACACACACACACACACACACACACACACACACACACACACACTTACACACACACACAGATTCATCATTATCATGACATAATGATTAAAAAAACAGGAGTCATTGTTTGGAAAGAAAAATCACCTGATCGTTCATTGTTCAAAAGTCTGCGAACCAAGTGGGATGAAATTGACAAGAAGTAAAAGTGCTTTTTTTCTACTTAAGGTTTAAAAAAACGGCTAATAATTAAGAAGAATCTAAAATGAATAACTATGAATGGACTTCAGCTTGTAGAACATCAAAATTTGTGAATCTAAAATGAATGGACTTCAGCTTGTAGAACATCAAAATTTGTGTGGTGATTTCATGAAAGAAACACAATTTAAGCAATGAAATTTATTTTCCTCCAGAAAATATTTGTCACAATAAAAACATTATATTAGGATTTTGCTTAGATTGCTATTATTTTTTACTTTGTATAAAAGAAAATTTGGAAATTTTTATGTAAAGAAAAAGCCGTTTTATTGACTTTTATTATTCTAGTTTTTCTTTAATAAAAGTCATTTAGAATTCTATATTTGCACCAACATTTTTTTTTCAGAACAAAAAAAAAAGTTTATATTAGTCAAGTTCAAGAAAACTCTCTATAAAACTCACAGATAATAAATTATTTCTAAAACTTCATTGTAGAAAAAAAAAAAAAAAAATGGAAATAAGAAGACTTTTGTTGAATACATAAAAATCAGATTCAAAATCAACATCGGATTCTCACTGGCTCGATTGGTCAATTTTTTTCTTTAATAAGTTTCTACTAAGTTTTTATTAACTTTTTTTTCCAGATCATCCACAGCTTATTAGAACCCTTGCCCCGTTAACTAATTTTAAAGAAAATAAAAGTTTGAACATAAAATCTTTTTTCCTATAAAAAAGAAAGTTGTCTTTTTAATGTGTGTTAAACGTGCAAACTTAACTAATTACCCAAACACATTAACAACATGTACCTCTATTGTGTCATATGCGCTAAAAATTTCTCTGGCTGTTTTGATGTTTTTGATTTGTTATAGTATATAATATCTTTATATATGTAATGTATATAACATTATTAGAATTTTAAAAATGTTTTTACACTTTTTTTTACTCTTTCTTATAAAAAAAGTTCCCCACTCTCTTGCCATTAACTCAGGTGTAATATCTGCTGTGAGCTCCATGTTAAACACTCACGAATGAGCATTAATAAGTTAAGCAATATTATAAATGATATATATAAATTATGTTAGTGTATTCTATAAATAGAGTGCTCAATGTTCTTAGAGAACAGAGCAATAATGAATTACAGGGTTATTATTTTTATATGCACCTCTATTCATTTTTGTATGCGTGTTTATTCATTCTTATATATGCATTTATTCATTCTTATATGCGCATTTATTCATTCTTATATGCGTATTTATTCATTTTATAAGCGTATTTATTCATTCTTATATGCATGTTTATTTATTCTTATATGCGGGTTTACATGCATAAATAAATGGGCTTTTATGTTTTAGCGCTGGATTTATGTAACTTAAATTAAACTCTGCAGTATCCATAATATTTTTAAGTTTCCTGATTACCCCATCCATATTTCAAGGCCTTTCTCCTTGTTTGTAAGTATGCTTTAAAAAAGAAAAAAATTCTTCTATTGAATTAAGCTGTGGCATGTATACTGATAGATACTTAATAGCTATGCCATGAGAGGCTAGTGTTTTACGAGCAAAAAGACTCCAGTGGAAGTCTTTCTGTTAGGAAGTTGTAGTAATGAGAGTACAAAACAAATCTGCATTCCAGCCTCCGGTATTTATTTCATAAGCCAGCACTTACATTGTTAAAATAGCACAAATCAAACTAACATTCTTGCTATGATTTGCAGACAACTTTAAAATTGCTGGCGTACCTCTTAGCAAATAACCATATATCCTGTTAGTGTGCACATTAAACCCAGTTTCATCCAAATAAATAAGTTTTTCATTTGAAATTCTGTTAATTTCGCTAGCAAATCATAGCAATCAATAACAAAATTAAATTGATAAGAACACTTATATAATTTTTTTCTTCAACAACTTGTTTTTCCATAAGTATGTTTATCAGGAAGCAGGAGAAACAGGTTGTTAGACAAAAAATTAGATAAATGTTTTTACTAATTTATATATATATATATATATATATATATATATATATATATATATATATATATATATATATATATATATATATATATATATATATATATATATATATATATATATATATATATATATATATATATACACACACACTATGAAAAATTCTTTATTCTATATTTATTATATAATAAAGTAATTATATATATATATAAATTATATAACAAATTTACCTTCCTTGTCATCACATGCTATCCAAATTTGGTTATACTTTTTAACATAACACAAATCACAAGGGTTATGTGTAGAAGACAACATTTTCAGCCCAAAAACTAATTGAAATGTTGGAGACAGTAACAAATTTAAAATATCTTTAGCAGGAGGTCTTTTGGAAGGCTCTTGATGCCACATCGACACCATCAACTTTGTCAAATGAAGTAATCCATAAAATGCATCAAGAATGTCATAAAACTTTGGTCGAAATCCCTTTTTGACATTGTGATCTATTTCATATACTTCTACAACATCATGGAATGGCCTTCGATATGCAATTAACTCGTAAAGAAAAATTCCAAATGAGTATATATCAACACTTGAATTATATTCATCTAAAGATGATTGGTACAAAATCATTTCTGGAGCAGTGTACCCCTTGGTGCCAAAAAACGTTTTCATACCACTTGGACTCATGAAGTTCGCTGTACCAAAGTCAGTTAACTTAATATTGATTTTTGCATTATGATTTAGCGAGAATAATAAAACATTATCTGATTTTATATCGCGATGAATAATATATTTTTTATGCATAAAAGCTACAGCACTTGCTAATTGCTGACAAATTCGAAACTTAACAATTCTAGGAATAATTTCAGATTTTTTATAAATGACAGATGATAAAGCACCATGACTAGCCCGTTCCATCACAACACATAATTCTGGTTTCAGTGAGAAACCTAAAAATTGAATTATGTATGGATGATGACGCAATTTACTGAGCATTACAATTTCTTGTCGAATTTTGTAAAACTGATTCAATGATGATGAAATTTCATCTTTGTTGTTCATCTTGAATTTATAAAACTTTATTGCAGAATTAATTTTGTTTTTACATAAACCACTATATACTTTTCCAAACTGTCCTTCTCCCAGTTTGTATTTTTCATTTTGTTCACATTGAAAATCGTTAGGAGTAAATTTCATTGTTTTTGGTAAATCTTGAAATGTAAGATCTGGACAAAATTCTTCTATGTTTACAATTTTTGGTACATGGTTATTTTCACATGTTACATTTAAAGCATTTTCTTGTGAACATCTATACATTTTTTCAAAAGCAGTACTGATGTTTATTAGATAAGGTTTTACATTCAAACTTGTACAAACAGGACATGCCAGAGAAGAAACAACAGTATCTGAATATGATAAACCCTCATACCACTCTTCCAAAAGTGTTCTTATATGATCAACAATATAGCTGAGAACACGATAGCCTAGAGGCGATTTAGTTACATGTATTTCAATTGTTTCTTGATCTGGTTTTACCGAAACAATTAACTGTTGTATGGAAAAATACAATTGCGGATGGTTAAATATAATACCTTTATTCCAGCAACTTAAATAGCCTTTGTCCAAAAGATAAGCGAGTTCATTGCAATCGTTGAAATATTCTTCATATGCTTCATCATTATTTGAAAGCTCATTAATAAGTTGGGAATTGGTTTCATTGTCTTCTTCTGATTGTTTTTTTTCATGGTCTTGTTTTGAAATAAATTCTGTTGTAGAGCCTAAAGAACCAATACCAAAATTTTCATCTATCCATTGCATATAACAGTCATTTTCAGTAAAAGACAGCTTTGAAATATTATCTTTCTTAAGTTCATTAAATCTTTGAGTGCTATTATTTGAACTTGAATCAGTGAAAGTCAATTTAGATGTTATATTAACATCAGATTTGTGAATGATTTTTTCAAAACATGTTTTTTTTTTACAGTCAGTTTTAATATTGCTTACACAATTATGTGTCATGCAGTTTGCCACATCGTTGCTTGTACTAACAGCAATACAATTATCATCATATGATAAATCATTACAACAACTGCAAAAATCATCATGTCTATCTTGATCATCAGAGCATACAAAACTAATCTCAGTTACTTCAGCTGCCTCAGCTGATGTTGCACTATTACGTGAACATTCTGACTGTAAATTTTTATTTTTGAATTGTTCTAATTTGTTTGTGAATTGTAAATGTGAATTGCTAAATTTTGAGTCATTTTGCATGTCAGAGTTGTTAGAAAAATTTCTTTCAAAAAACTGTATAAACCAACTGTTAACAGAAAAACCTTTTGATTCAGATAGTTTCAAACCTGTGTGAGTTTGATTTAAACAAAAATTATTTTCTGGAGATTTGATATTTAAAGTGTGTGTGACATTTAGGCTTGAAGGTTTTTCACCTTTGTAAAATGAAAACAAATTAAAATTATTTTTCTGTAAACTATCTACAAGAGAAGCTCTGGAAATTATTTCAATTTTTGGATTTGATAACATTTCTTTCATTATCAACAAAAAACGAGTAATAAATCGAGTCCAAAAACCATATGGTACATAATTAAAAAAGTAGTATCGAGTGAGCAAACTGCTTAATTTGATTGCAGATATTGGAGCAAAAACAGGAAGTTTTGGTGGAACAAGAACTCTATGCTCATCAATTTCACAAGCAATCTGGAAACGCCATAGTAACCTTAAATACTTTTTTATTGTGTCTTGATTCTCGCTACCCCAATCTTTTCCTAAAACCAACTTCAAAACGAAAAAAAAAATTATTATGGTAAACAATAAAATCAACATTAAACATTAGAATTAAAGTGATAAACATTAAAATTAAAGGTGGTTCAATGGTAAACATTAGAATTAAAGTAATAAAATTAACTTAACAACAAGAAAATTAACAAGAATAAGTGTACAACAACAATACAATCTAATTACTAAAGTAATATATCTTTTTGTCTTTTATACAGTTAAAGGTGTCTTAGGTAATGCGTTAGTTCACCTGTAATTTACTAAATGAATGTTTTTGTTATGTCTAAACCTATGGTGTGGTGTTTACTAACCTGTAAGTTGCTATTTGTATGTTTGTGTTCTGTTTGAATCTTTGGTACAATGTTCATCCACCTATAAGTTCCTATATGTATGTTTGTGTTCTGTCTAAACTAGAAAGTGACACAGTAACAGGAATTGTGGTATTACTATGGTCACAGCAATAATGACTGCAGGAATGTTTAGTAAATTACAGTAATACTGCGATAACAGTAATAACGAGCACAGTAATACAAATAAAATTAGCATTATGAAAGGAGCATGAAATATAACCAGCATTATGAAGTTATTTTTGCATGGCTTGAAATATTATGTTATTTCTGGTTTCAACAAAGAATATGTATGCATAACTATATAACTGAACAATGGACAGTTTTAATTTATGAATTAATAAGAAATGGATAGATGTAGTTTACTGGTTTGTTAAATTTGATATATAAAAGGTGATTGGGCCACTCTGGATGAGGTGGGGATAAGGACAAACTTAATATATACGGGGTAGGGATGGGGAAAAACTTGATGGGGATGGGGTAAAGATGGGGACAAATTTAATGAGGATGGGATGGGAATTGTTTCTGTCCTCGTGTTAGTTTAGTTACCAACTAACTATAAAACTTAATATCTAGTATTCCATTAGAAGTACTGTTTTTCTTAATGCATTCCCAAAAAATCCTATACAATGTTTGATAAAAATATTTGATAACAATTCTCGACAAAATCTTGGGCAGGTGTTAAATGCATCCAGCTACTTTTTTTGTAAAAGATCTCCTAGGCAAAACTTTAGATGTAACTAGAACAATTATGTTGACCAGCCTCCTACCCATTTTTCATCTATAAGGCTAGTGTAAAATGTGAACCTGTGTTATGGTTTCCCAAACTTTGCGGTAGCTCTCAGAGAGGCTGTTCCATTAACAGCTATAAAATATCAGAGTTTTAAGAATGCCATGTTGCTCATCAATGGTGTTCCTGTTGATGCTTTGTTTTGTCGAAGCTGAATTATTAAGTTAATTATCAAATTGCTTGAAATGCCAATTTTATCTATGAATGAGTCAAGTCTTCTTTAAACTTAAATGCTCAAATTAACCAAAAACATCAAACATAAAAAACCATCACCTAACTGTTTCAATATAATTTTCACAAATATTTGTGATCTTCAAAGTAACTTTCCACCTCTTGCAAAATTTACCAGACTCGATTGCTATTGTGAAAATAATTTGTTTTTGCTGTTCCTTCTTTAGATCTCAGATGGATCAGATGCCATCAAAGATTTTCAGATAATTTAAATCATTTGATTCGCAAAGAAAGTCACATTCATGGATTGGGCATATACTTACGCATTTTTTTATGTGCTTTCCCTTAGCACCTCTTCACTTTATTGCCTTTCTTTTTTTTTCTTTATTATTTTTCTTCTAAAGAATATACTTTTTCAGTTATAATTTCTTGCCCTTTTTCTTTACCCTGTGCCAATATTGTTGTTATTGGTGACTTAAACGCTAATCACACTGAATATGTTGGGTCCATGCTGTCTCTAATAAGAAAGTGAGAAGTGAAGCAATAGCTTAGAGGTGAACAGGTAGATATAAAATAAACCAAAATAAATGATGAGTTTTAAAGTTTAGGTTAGTTATATATTATATATATCAACAGAAGTACACTAAAAAAAAAATTACCTGAACATTTCTTACCTGAACATTTTTTCTTTCTATGATACCATTTTTAATATGAGCATTAACATAATCTATAGAAATAAATTTTGCCATTAATTTACAAACCCATGATGGACTGATGAAAATAATATCGTTCAAACCTTCATTTGCACCATCAAAATAAAGAATAGTACCTAAAGTAAAAATAAATAAACTATATATATATATATATATATATATATATATATATATATATATATATTATATATATATATATATATATATATATATATATATATATATACACATATATAAATATATATATATATATATATATATATATATATTATATATATCACCTCGGTCAGCGTTTTCGCGCCTAAGTCTTTTTGTGCTCGCACACATGCGCGCAAAAACTTTGGCAAACGCATAAAATTTAAAAACATACACGCTTGTGTTAGTTGAACAAACTAACAAAAAAGTTTTGTTTAGTTTAAAAATTTATATATTTTTTGATTAAAAAACATATTATGTTTTTAAAAATATATTTTATTTTTTATTCATTAAGTATAATTTAAAAAAATTATGTTTAATATATAAGTTACATTTACTATGGATTTTTTTAAACATTAAAGACATTGAAATTTAAAAATAACTAGATCTTAATAAAAGTTTTATTAAGTTATTGTTATTGTTATTACTAGTATTTTTAAATCGCGCCGGCTAACTTAAAAATAACCATCTATCCAGCGCTTTTCTATGCGCTGGCATTAAGTTTCAAATGGAGAAGATTGATATATATATATATATATATATATATATATATATATATATATATATATATATATATATATTATATTATATATTATATATTTAAGGCAAATATTGTTTTTCATGTTGCAAAAGACGCAGATTTTCTGCTAAATTTTGCTGGGACGGGGTGGTACTGCCACCCAAACTTTTTTCCTAAAATAGACCCTCCTTAACTACTGTAAATTTTCACACATTTGTGAAATAACTCAAGTCGAAACAGCAGTCTTAATTGCAAACCAAATGCTTAATTGTCCCAAAAAAGCTTTTTGTAGCCATAGATAAGTTTTACAGAAAACACTGTACCTTGCATACATTGGTCCACATCTTGATTTTGCAGTACGATTTGGTCTCCTCACCTAAAAAAAGATATTGCGATGGTAGAGAAAGTCCAAAGATATGTAACAAAAACAATATCTGAGATAAAACATCTACCTTATGAAAAAATATTACAAAGGCTGAAATTAACATCACTTAAGAATCGCAGAAAAAGAGGTGAACCAATCCAACAGTTCAAATTTACTCACTAAATTGATGAAAGTCAACTTTCATTTCCCTTAAACTCTACTAAATTCAGCAACAAATTACAATCTCCAAGGACACAATCAGCAATTTTTGCCTTAACAATAAAAAGTTGTGTTGAACAAGAAAATTTTTTTACAAATAGAGTAACAAAACACTGGAATGCTCTTTCACAGGAAGCAGCTGATTCGTCTTTGTGCGGCTTACCTGGGTCAAGATAGAGGAGCCTGATGTAGCTCTCCTTTATTGGTTTAGATTACACTTACACAACACCCTACAAGATGTACATAGAACTGTTTTTGTATTTTTCAATATAAACACGATAAGACATGGGCTATTTTAATGTACACTTGTACTTATATGGACTTTACACCAATTTTGAAGTAAATAAAATATGTTAACACAATTAAAAAATTATAAAAAGAATTCTTTAGAACTTAATTCTACTTAAATACAAATTTTTTTAATAGGGGGTTTTAATGTAATTATTTTTTGAGTTCACTTATTTTAATAGTTTTTTAGGAGAAACTTATCTTCATGTCTGCACTTAGAAATCAATTCCGATTTTTTGTTTAATAAACATTCTTGGTTAGCATGTGTAATTATTTCAAATTTTTCTTGTAGGCATAGTATACATCTTTTTGAAATTTAATTACATGCAAGTGTTGTTGTAAGGATGAACCAATTCAATATAAAATCATCAATATTTTTTTTTTCAATTCCCATATGTATTTTGACAGCATGGTGTCTTTTGAATACTTTTTATTTTTAAAGAATTGTATATGGTTCAAAAACGTTTTTTCCTTTCACTCTCTGTTAAGCCAATATGTTATCAGGTAGATCCTTAAAGTAAACAACACATTAAAATACCACCCTTTTTAATAAACATTTCATGTAATTTATTAGAGGGAGGGAAGTGTTTAACAATCAATTTTAAAACACTTTTCCTGTGTTAATTCTTTTTATAATTGAGTCAGCATATTCCACAAATGTGTGAAAATTTACAGTAGCTAAGATATTTATGACATCCTGTAATTTATTTTTTGGTATAAACTGAGATTTTATTAATTTGAACATTCTTTTTTAATTCTGATTCACTCCCAGCAAAGCTGCAAGCAACCACTATTAAGTTGGGAGTTACTAGAAAAAAAGAATAGAGCTATAGAGCAAGGAATGGGTTGAAAAAAGACTTTAAAAGTTAAAGGTTGTATGAGTTAGGAAAACATGAAGATGAGAGAGAGTTCCAAAGGGTTGAAGAGCAAAAAAGCTAGACAAATAAAAGTTTTTGGAGCATGCAGGGACAGATACAGTAAACGAGTCAAGTGAGAATGAGTTTTGGTTGATAGAACTAGAGATAAAAGCTTTGTTCACTGCTCCTTTGAGCAGCGGCCATGATAGTATTTGTAGAAAAGAAAAAAGAGATGCAACTTTACAATGATGGGAAAGAGGCTCAAGCTTAGCAAATAGAGCAGGTCCAACTACCTTTGCAAAGCGTTTTTGGACCTTGTCTAAAAGAGAAAGAGCATCATTAGAACCAGCTTAAACATGACAACAGTATTTTATAAAGGGATGAATAAGAGATTTGTAGGGGTAGAGATTGGAATCAGGAGACAGAAAATTACAAGCATGATAAAGAAAAGCAACCTTAACAGATGCTAATTTAACAATCGATTGTATATAAGGTTTCAATAAAAGGTCAGTAGTAAATGAAAATCCAAGACATAATAAAAAAGGACTCAGTGAGAGAGTTGCCATTCATCAATATAGGAATGTCAACAGTACTGCAATAGTTGTTTGCAATAAAAAATTAAGTTTTGTTGCAGATTCGAGAGTCAAGTTAGAAGAGAAGTTCTTTGCAAATAGTTCAGCCTTATCCTTGGGAGAGGTGAAAAGATCAGTCCGATGAATGAGAGATGGGATGTTAGACCTTCCTTTCTTAACAACATTGTTGAAGATTTTCCAAAAGTCTCTAGAGCCTAACTTCTAAGATAAGATATGAGATTTAGTGAGAATGATGGAGCTTAGCATCTAACAGTACCTTTTAAATTCGATTTCTTGCAATAATAAATAGCTGTTTGTTTTCAAGAGAGTTGTTCTTTTGAAAAAGATAAAAAAAATGATAACGATTAGATATAGCAGCTGCACAAGAGGGTGAAAACCATGGAGTAGAATGAGGCTTGACTTGGAACTGACAAGAAGAAGTAAAAGCATCTATTCCTGCTTGAATCCAGAAAATTATGTAGGAGGCGCATTTTTCAGCTGAGATGGAAAAGACATCAGCCAAGGGACCGTCTCAAAGAAAATCAGGAAAAGAATCCCAAACAGCTTTAGGGTAGCAGAAAGTAGTGTGATGACAGGGTATGAAAATGATGTACTAGATGAAAGATTTAAAACAATCATTGCATTTTCAGAACCACCTATGGGAGGAAAAGGAGAACTTGAACACAAGCTAGGATCAGAGACCAAACATAAATCAAGGAGTGAAGGTAAATGATTAGAGTTGTCAGAAAAACAAGTCACAAAGTTAACTATCTGAGTAAGAGATTGAGAAATGCAGAAGTGATAGGCTTTAGTACCAGCAGAGTCAGTGGCGTTAAAACCAAGCCAAGCCATTCAGTGTGATGAGCATTAAAGTCACCAATAGCAACAATATTGGCAGAGGGGTAAAGATGGTCAATTTGATTAGAATTTATATCTACAAGAGTGCAGTCTTGGGAAGAAGGAGAACAATAATGAACAAAGATAAAGGCAATAGAGTGAAAAGGTGCTTAGCAGAAGCACATAAAGGAATGGTCAAAGAATTCGAACCCAATTTTACCACAAATAGGTGAATTGATGCATATGTATACCCCTAAACCAAGCATGTGAGTCTTTACAAATTAAAGGATAGTACCCATCAACATTGAGATCAGAGGAAAGAATAGCAGAATTTAGATTAGTCTCACTAAGTGCAAGCAAGTCTGGTGAATTTTGAAAGAGGCTATATTCAACTAATGGAAGGTTGCTTCGCAGACCACAAATATTAGTAAAAGATATATTAAAGCAGTTAGGTGATAGGGATGGTTTTTTATGTTTAATATTTTGATTTACTTTTGGCATTTTTAAGTTTGAAGAGAACTTGACTCATTCATAGATAGAGCACAGCCTCCCAAGCAATTAGCTATGCAATATTCTCAGTCCTGTTAATTAACCTTGAGTTGTAACAAAGGGCTCCTCATGTGGCCTTGACGATGTGCACCAAAAGCATTAACAGGGGTACCATCCATGCACAATATGTCACTGTTAATACTCTGATACATTGCAGCTGTTGATGGAATCAGCCTCTCTGAGAGCTACCACAGTTTTCGGGAAACCTTAATACCAGCTCGGTCTCATTAAACTGAGTGTACCCTACCTTAGAGATATACCCCCATTAGGAGATAACAGGAAGTGTTGCACAGCCACTATCATGGAGGCACAATCAAAAACCTATGAGTAAAGTCAAGATCTAGCATTCACTATCCTAGGCAGGAAACAATGTAACACAGGTTTACATCTACGCCAACCTAATGGAAAAAAAAGAGGTTAGAGGCTGGTCAACAGAATTATTCTGCTTACCCCTAAAGTCTTTGCCTAGAAGGCCTCCTACAAGACAGTAACTGGATGCAATTAACATCTGCCCAAGATGAGTTTTTTTTATCGAGACACTATCTCTAGCCTTTACTCAACCAAGAGCCCCAAGGCAGGGGATTTTTTAAGTCTGAGTTTGTTTCTCCTATATTTTGAACAACTACTTCAGCGTGTTTCATGTTTTTGAACTTTTTCAGGTGTGAAATGGAAAAGATACTTACCGCCAGGCTCTTGACATACTGTATAATGTTCC